ATAGCGTGCTCCCCCCCCCCCCCCAAAAAAAAAAAAAAAAAAAACACCATACTGGAGAAACTGGTTTCTTCAAGGTTTGATGCATGGGTTATTTAATAAACTCGTATGAAAAACACCCCTATTGGGGGACAAGAAATCCAAAAACAGCAGCTAACAAGTTTTTAAAAATATACTTGAATATGACTACAATCATGTTTCCATGAAAAAAGTATGGTACATTGCGACGAATGCCTCAGTCTCGAGAAACACAAAACATCTCTGACAAGTTATTCTAGGCTCAATCAATCGTAGCGGGATTCGATTCAACATTTTCATTCATAGGTTGTGGTTGTCAAGCAGAAACTTCGACCAACAATTTCAGATAGGTTAAAAATTTTTTTGTGGATTCCTTTAACCTCTTTCATTACATGTTATGGTTGTTAAGTAGAAGTTTCAACTAACATCTGATTGGTCAACCATCCTCTAGATTTCATAGAGGTTAACATCATTAAGCATTTTAAGCTTTACAAACTACAATACGGATCTTACATTCTTAATGAATTTTTCTTTTGACTCTATTCCAGCACATGTTAATGTTGTCGAGCATCCCCTATAATACAACCTACGATAGGTCTTACATCCTTCGTGGATTACAACTGACTTCTTCCACTGTAGGTTGCGGTTATCGAGCAAGTTGCGATCTAACTAACTTAGGAAATGTCAAACATTCTTAGCAGCATTCCAGAAATCAAGCATCGTTGGCTCAGAAGTTAAATAACACCTTGTAACCGCCCAAAAAACGAAGCAACCACAGCTCAGAAGGAAATCCTAAAGTAACCTCAGAAGAAACATAAAAATTTCTATTGCATCAAATAAGAGAAAGACTTGTAGACTACATATTTCATCGTGTACAAATGCACATCAAAGATATAAAGACCAACACACACTGATACAAGTGTTATACCAAGCCCACTCATTTTCAAATGGTGTCTCTCATCAAAATTTTGGTACGTTTTATCGATTTTTCAGGGGGATGAGATTCTGCAGATATTGACATCTCAGCGCAGGAATTCTCACCCAGAAAGCGGAACTGCAACACTGTAAATCTTCTCCGAAAAGTGTGACAGTAGCATGAAAATCTCATATGGAAAGCTTGACATTGACGTGAAAAATTTACAAAAATCACCGTAGTAGCTCAGGAAAACTTTCCTGTAAAATATCCTCCGTAAAACATGATAACAATGTGAATAATATCATTCAGAAATCACCGTAGCAGCGTGTGAAATCTTTCTCATAAAATATGATAGCAGCACGAGAAATTCCATCCGGAAAGTACAACCCGAAAGGAGAGCTCCATTAGTTGCACAATTAAGTTGGGGGACTCTACCTTTTAGTCTTGTAGAGATCTCATTAACTGTATGCAAGGAGGCCGGGGGACTCCACCTTTTTTCTTTTAGATATCCCGTGGATCTACTAGCAAGTGGGAGATCTCACTTTCCTTTCTTCTAGGGCTTTCGTTGGTGGCTTGCTAGCATGGCAGGGAGTCCACTTTTTTGTCCTCTTTCTAACTTATTTAAAGGCTCAAAGTGACCAAAAAGGCAAAAGAAAAAACTAGAAAAATATCCAAAAAGATAAAAAATCGTATATGTTTGAAACAATACTCCAGAATTGCCCAATTTCGTGCAATCGGAAAACTCTCTTGCGTGATCCGCATAATTTTTCCCCTCGGATCGTTATCCGCGTACAACGGCGACTGCGTAGCTTGGATTGCAGGTTTTAATTGCTTTGCCCACCCGACTGCAATCCGTAGGCCCGAAAGCCTCCCTTGTCCTCTTACCTACTCTAGACCTGTTGACCCGCCGCACTAGTTCACCGACCTTACCCGCTCCGGCTTGAACCACTCTTGACAAAATTTTATCCAAAAAATTCGAATAGCATAGAGATTGAACCCGAACCATGGAGAGGAAGCACGTTCCACTTGCCAACTGAGCCGCCACTTGTTCACATACATACATATCTGCATACATAAGAAAAATGAAGGGGAAAATTGAAATCTGGATCTTTGGTATTTTCCGGCAGTGAAATTGCCCTCACTCAAATATTGGGGCAATTGATATCATCAAAAAGTTCCCATCATCCTACTCGAATCTTGAGGTGTGACACAAATCTCGAGGTAATTTTTTGAATTAGAAATATTCATACTTCAATTAACAATCATCCAAACCTTTGATTTCAGGATACTTACAGTCAAAGTGACCCGCTAGATGAGACAGACTTAATAATATAAAAATTGGTCAAATCCGAGTCAAATCAAGTCATTAAATCATTTTTAGAAACTTTCTGTGCATAATTTGATGTCAAACAGATTTTGAATCTAACAAGCTTATAGACAAGTCACGTGTTTCTGTGAGATGAATTCGAAGAGCCCAAAAGCGCTCAATTATGACATCATTAAGACACTTAAATATTTTTGAAGCAACTATTGCAACCCACAATGCTAACTATTTCAATTGCTTTCAACTTTGGTCAATACTACAAGTTGGCGCTACAGCCGCAATCTATAACGTTTAGGCTGACTATTGCCCCACAACAATCGAGTATAGCTCTTGCAGCTTGCTATTACCGAGAAATGTATTTATTACAGCCAGACTATGACTATTATCAATGAACTACTATTTATACATTTACATTGATCAATATTGTAACTCCATCTTCTCTAATTCAGGAGAAGAGTAAACTTATGTACTTATCATTCATATTGGATTATTTCAACTTGTCTAGACCTCATGATTTTCTCAACTTTTTTAGTGTTTCCATATAAAAAGTTTAGGTGTATTCTCTTGCTTACTTCTCTTTAATTACATAGGTGTGTGTTGAGTTTTCGTGCAACATTAAGATGATAATTCATCACTCTACTATCGCGGACCTTCAAGCACACATCAAATCATACCTCCAATCTTATAAAAATATTATTTATTTATCATTAACAAGTAATTCTACAAGTCTGAATTAAACTTTGCTAATATCAATAAAAGATCCTTGATATAAAGAAATTCATTGATATATTCGTAGGAATTTGCATCATTAAACCTATGAACAGTTTTCTCCTTATATTAGACAATGAAGTTCCTACCTCTATTATACACAACGAATTTCCTTTCTTCTAACACCTCGGGAACATTTATTTCGGACAATAAATGAACAAAGCTGTCAATTTACTTAAATTTCCTAAATCATAATACAAATCTCCATTAGCTATTATTAAAATAGTGTTTTTACTTATAAAAAAAAAGATTTCTGCTGATTCAAGCTTTCTCGACATGCAATTCAAAGTTGAACACACTTCATCGGAGAGATAAAAATGCATATAATCCTTTCCAATCCCTACCTTCTTTTCTCCTCTTCTTCTTGCATGCCTTTTTTTCTTCTCATCTTCCTTTTGTGAATTCAACTACCAGCACTTCTTAAATTCTTTAGCTCTTTCACAAAAATGAGAGTAAGGAATGGATTCCATGTGTTAGTATTTAGGTTAAATATGTGTAAGTAATTATATTACAATACCTCACTAACACTCCCTGCCTCCTCACAACCTAAAGCTCTCAGCATGTTTTCTTGTGCTCGACTATGCTAGGTTACAGGCAAATGAAATGGGGGAGGACAAATAATGTATAGCTTAAGTAGTGATTTAAGTCTTTTACAAATATATATTATTATAGTATAAATTAATTGTTATTTCTTCATCACTAACCTTCTTTACCACTATAACCCAACTCGATTGCTGCATACAAAGGACAGCGGAGTTACCTATAGTAATATAAGTTGGCGTGCAACAAAATCAATATAAAACTTATACTACAAAAAAAAAATAAGAGAAAGAAAAAGTTATCTTGTTTCTTAATATGATTTTATGGCTAAACCTTTTTCTATTACTTGACGGCAGGATATGCAATACAGAGGAAGAAACTTCTAACATGAATCAGACGACAAATCATGCGCCGGAGCTGTTGCCTTCCTCCCACCGCTCATCGTTTTTGATATTTCCTTTCAGGCCTTTGCCAACATACAAAACTCCAAGCACGGCGATGAGAGTGGCGGCACTTCTCACGTAATTCAATAACTTCATGAATTCCCATGGTTTTCAATATATATATATATATATCTT